TTCATTAATACAGGCTGTGTCTTTCAGAGTGCCTTATTATTAGGGGTTGATAGTATTTGACCCTTGCTAGAATAGTTCCAGTCCCTGACAGTTTCTTGATTACCGTCAATTAGTGAAGAGTTTCTATCCAAACAAATAAAACACGTTTGAGTTTCTTTTTTTAAAGCACCTTCTTAAACAAGTGAGAGAAAGGGGCCTAATCTTACAAATCAGAATGAAAGTCAAAGTAATTTCAGAGCTAGGTCTGAATGATGATATGGCTCTGGAGCACAGCCCACTGGGCTGGGGAAGAGGAGGGGAGGGGCTCAATACCTTCTGGGCACTGTATTTACTGTATCATTACAAGAGTGCTAACTTTTTTAATAGATGGGTATTTTTAAATCCAGTGCACATTCACTACCATATGTCAATGTCTACTTATTTATTTATTTTTTACAGTCAGGTAGAACATTAGGGCTCTGGATACTTTTCCAACAATATAGTTTATGGTGAAATCTGTATGTGTTAGACACTGGAAAAAATATCGTTTATCACTTGATGTATTCTGAGTTACTGCCATTTTCAAGCAAGCATCTCTACCCTTAACTTTTCAAATTAACACTACCAAGATAATGAAGCCAAAGTACCACTGTGAGACAATAATTTGGTGCACAAATTTGAACAGCACACAACTACTGCTCTGTTAGAGATGTATCTGCTGAGTTTATTTAATTACCATTTGGACCAAACACATCTAACGAGGAGGATATTTTCTTCAATTCATTAAAAGGTTGAATGTTGCAGAACTACTCCTCTCTCCTATTCATAAGGCCTTGCAAAGAATTTAGCAGATATAAATTTCATACCTATGGAGAAAAACTTTAGGACATTTTCTCAGAACCAAAAGAATCTAATTTGGTCCAGACACACACAGAGACATGGCTTCATGAGGGACTTCTCTGCTCACGTGCCTGTAGCCTCCCTGAAACCCTTCTGAGTAGCCACACTTCTCAGTCTTGCCAGGCCGTTCTTTGCTACCTAAAGTCCCACTAAAACAAACACTGAATTTGTTATTAATAATAAAATTATATAATTAAATTTTAAAAAGACAGAAAGAAAGGACATTCACAATAATATGTTGAACTTTCAAAAGGAGAGAACAGAATTGTGGTTACTAGAGGAGGAAAAGGGGGAGCAGAGGGAGTTAGTGAGAAATTGGTTAAGGGTCACAAAGAATGATGACATTTTATAATGATGAATATGCTAATTACCCTGACTTGACCATCACATAATGGACACAGGTATTAATATTCAACTCTGTGACCCACAAATATGCATAATCAATTATGTTTCAATAAAACAATAATAATAAAATTATATTTGAAATGCAATGTTCTAGTCCACTCTCGAAATGGAGTAAAACTGCCACCTGGTTGCCCCCAGACCAACTCCGGCCACCCCTGCCACCGCTGGGGGAGGAGGGCCATGATCCAAAGGAACCAGAGCAGTTGAGAAAACTGTTTATTGGTGGTCTGAGCTTTGAAACTACAGATGATAGTTTAAGAGTTTGAAACTACAGATGATAGTTGCTTTGAAACTACAGATGATAGTTTAAGAGAACATTCAGAGAAATGGGGCACACTCACAGACTGTGCAGTAACGAGACACCCTCAAACCAAGCGTTCCAGAGGCTTTGATTTTGTGACTTATTCTCGTGTTGAAGAGGTGGATGCAGCAAAGTGCTTGACCACACGAGGTTGATGGGCGTGTAGTGGAGCCAAAGAGAGCTGTTTCTAGAGAGGATTCTGTAAAGCCTGGTGCCCATCTAACAGTGAAGAAAATTTTTTTTGGTGGTATGAAAGATACAGAATATAATTTGAGAGACTACTTTGACAAGTTTGGTAAGACTGAAACCACAGAAGTTGTGGAAGACAGGCAGAGTGGAAAAAAAGAGAAGATTTGCTTTTGTAACTTTTTTTTTTAAATAAAGATGACCGGTAAGGGGATCTTAACCCTTGACTTGGTGTTGTCAGCACCACACTCTCCCGAGTAAGATACGGGCCAGCCCTGCTTTTGTAACTTTTGATGATCATGATATAGCTGATAAAGTTGTTGTTCAGAAATACCACACTATTAATGGGCTTAATTGTGAAGTGTAAAAAGCCCTTTCTAAACAAGAGATGCAGTCTGCTGGATCACAAAGAGGTCGTGGAGGTGGAACTGGTGACATTATGGGTCGTGGAGGAAATTTTGAAGGTAGTGGAGGTAATTTTGGCTGTGGTGGAAACTCTGGTGGAAGAGGAGACTGTGGTGGTGGGAGTGGTGGCAGCAGAGGTAGTTATGGAGGAGGTGATGGTGGATATAATGGATTTGGAGGTGGCAACCATGGCAGTAGCCCAGGTTATAGTAGTAGAAGGGGCTATGGTGGTGGTGGACCAGGATATGGAAACCAAGGTGGTCGATATGGTGGCAGTACTGGAGGATATGATGGTTACTATGAAGGAGGACATTTTGGCAGTGGTAACTACGGTGGTGGTAGGAACAATAATGGCTTTGAAAATTATAGTGGACAACAGCAATCAAATTATGGACCCATGAAAGGGGGTAGTTTTGGTGGAAGAAGCTTGGGCAGTCCCTATGGTGATGCTTATAGATCTGGAAGTGGTGGATATGGTAGCGGAAGATTCTAAAAACAGCGGAAAAGGGCTACAGTTCTTAGCAGGAGACAGAGCAAGGAGTTGTCAGGAAAGCTGCAAGTTACTTTGAGACAGTCGTCCCAAATGCATTAGAGGAACTGTAAAAATCTGCCACAGAAGGAACGATGATCCATGGGCAGAAAAGTTACTGCAGCTTCAACAGGAAACCCTTCTTGTTCAGGACTGTCATAGCCACAGTTTGCAAAAAGTGCAGCTATTGATTAATGCAACGTAGTGTCAATTAGATGTACATTCCTGAGGTCTTTTATCTGTTGTAGCTTTGTCTTTTTCTTTTCATTACATTAGGTATATTGCCCTGTAAATTGTGGTAGTGGTACCAGGAATAAAAAATTAAGAAATTAAAAAAAAAAAAAAATGCAATGTTCTCAGGAGTCTTTCAGGTATTCCTGAGACCTAAGGCCCAAGCAACATCAATGCATTTGCAGGAGCACAGACTAGGATGGGAAACTGTCCAAAAGGTCAAATCTCTGCACTTGGCACCACCTTCAACTGAGGTCCCTCAAATATACAGATAGGTATCTACTAAGAGGAAACATCGGGGGTAAGGGGGGTTTCGTGTTGGAGACAGGCCAGAGTGATCAGACATCAACTGATCAATGGGTGGATGAAGAGGAATCTGATCAGATTTAAAGGGGAGAGGTTCTTGCTCAACTGACTTAGCAGGTTTCCTTACTAAAACTGGATTTTCACAAGGAAGTAAAACAGAGATGGGCCTAGGAAAAGGTCCAGGACACTTACTGAAGCTTGGCCAAGCAAAGAAATGTCAATATACACACTAATTCAGGAGAAAAGGACAAATGATGCGACTGATGATAAAGAAAAGATAAAATGGTGTGCATAAGCTTTAGAAAGTACACTCAGAGTAACCCAGCAAGAAAGGCAGGGTGGGAACGACACTTTGAAGGAAGAGAAGAAATCTGACAGAGACAGAGCAGGGTGGGAGGGCGACGAGGGGAGAAAGGACATTCCAGGAATTTCCCCAAATACTGATAAACAGGTCAAATTCCTTGGCACAGGAAATCACTTCATACCAGAAAGGTTTCCAAGTTCCAGCTAATGACTGAATTGTAAACAATGTAGTCCAAAATAAGAAAATTCTAGAACAATGAAAAATTTTGGACACTCACCAGTTCATAGCACCATTTCTAACATTCAAAGCCTTAAGGTTTACACTCAACTTTACCCCCACATAAATTTCAAATATCCACTAAATGATTTAGAAATAATGCATATGTCATCTCAAGTAATATAAATATTTAGGAAATCAGAAAAGCAGATCCCAATTTCACAGCCCCAGGGTACATTTTCGATGAATGCCAAATATGTTTACAAGTAGGGCCGGCCTGGTGGCGCACTGCTACAGTGCGCCGCTTGGGAGTGCGGAGGCGCTCCCACCGAGGGTTCGGATCCCACATACAGACAGGTTCCCGCTCACTGGCTGAGCGAGGTGTGGGCGCAGCGCCGAGGGTTGCGATCCCGTTGCCGGTCCCGACCCGGTACGGGCGCGACACTAAGGGTTGCGATCCGTTGCCGGACACAAAAAAAGACAAAAAGGAAAAAAAAAAATATATGTTTACATGTAATTGAGAAGAATACTTGCACTGACACATGACCAATAAGGCCCCAAATTATCCTGCCTCTTGTAAACAAATACTCAGCAAACCTAAAAGAACATCAAAGAACTTTTGTAATTTCCAGGTATCAGCATTTTGCAAAGGCTTGCCTCCCATCTGAATCATAACCTCTCAAAGTTACATTTGTTTTTTTTTTCAGTAATGTTAAATATAAAAAGTTGATAATGATGAAAGAAACCAAAATGCTTTATATAAGTAATCCATAAGTCCCTTGTCCCCACCCCTTTACAAGCCTGTTTTCACAAAGAATTAAATTTTATAGCTCTTCAAAAGCTGGATGATGTAATCGAGTAAAATACATCATAACACTTTGTTGTGAGATGACACTTGCCTAAATCCATAACCTTAAAATGTAACACATATTATAGTGTTCCTTCATTCATCAGCAAGAAAAAAACAAAACTGATGGTTAACACTGGTACTGATAACAAGATCTTGAATCTTTGTAAAGGTCTAGTCTGGGCAGTCCAAATAGTTTACACAGAAGTTGAACTAAAGGGAGGAGTCTATTAAAACCATACTTTTTTTCTTCTTCCAGAAGTTACTGTAACAAAGAAAAAACATTCTCCTCAAAAGATTTCTTATGGGCACTAGACTTGCTTAATTCAGTACATGTATCACTTATATATTCAAGACAGCTTGTTTGGATACTGTTTTGTTGCTTGCTTACCTGGGGATTTTTTGTTTGATCTTGATTGTACCAAGTGAGACTGTCGAGGCAGCAAGGGTGACGAAGGCAGAGACATGGAGACACCTTTAGCCAAGCTCACTCTATAGGTGTCCTCTGCTACAGGAAGACTGCTCACAGGAGACTCACCCCCATGACCAGGGGGCAGGACTGCAGAGGACTCAGGACCAACATCACCTCCTGTAGTGGAGAGATAATACCTGAGGTTAGACCACCCATCACAAGTTGATATGAATTTAATTCCTAAGAACTACATTCTTAGAATATAATTCCCATATACCAGATCTGTATGTTGAATATTTTTTAATGATTTCCCCGTCACTCTTAAAACTTTTCACCCTGTGAGGAAACTCAAGTGTCAATGAACTCTGCACCTGTACCCCTTTCTGCACCACCCCAACTGGTCTGTGTTCACTCCTAACAATGGGTCCAGAAAGCCACTGATCTGAGATTAGGTCAACATCAAGTATGAATGATCCACAGGAAGCTTTGATTTCAGCGAAGTAAGGGAGGGGCCTTATTGGCCTTATATGGATATCAGAATAACAGATTCGATTGCCAAGAGCCATTCCAGAACTCCGGGGTCTCTGACCATTCTGCTCCCAGAGGGTAAGTGCAAGGGAGGGTCTAGCCCACCTCCACATTCCTCCCCAGGGCCATGTTTCTGTTCTCTCTCACCCCATCTACTCCGCATTCCCCAGGACGCAAGGTCCGTCCTCCTAAAACTCAACCAGCCCCACACCAGTCACAGGACTAGAACCACAGCTCATTTATTAGGCAGGTTACCTTTGGTACTCAACCCCTAAATGAACTTGGGGACATTACTATTATAAAATTAAACATTCTAGGGTAGGTAGACTCCTGAGAAATACAGAGGATGCAATCGCAGTGTAGAAAGCATACAAGGAAGAGATTACCTTGGCTGGGCTTAGCCTCTCCAAAGGGGGGAAAAAAAAGATAGATAATATGCTTTCCTCCTGTTGCCCCCAATCACCAGTATGTACTAAGAAGCAACTGAGGATGTGCAAGGAGAGAAGGTAAACCATTATCCTGATGATTAAAAAGAATCCTCAAGCTCTAAACTACAGAAAGCAGAATTGAAAAGATGCATAAAGTTTTCCACAAGCAAACCAATCTCTGACAAAAGCTATCCAACTTGTCTTCCCCATGCCTTCCTGACTCTAAAATCTTTAAAAAAAAAAAAAAAAAAGATAGAAAGAAAAGAAAAAGAAAAGAGAAAGAGAAAGAGAAAGAAAAGCTATCTAGCCAGGCAGGAAGCTCAATTTTTACAGATCTTCATGTACGAGGCTCAAAAGGGATGCAGCCCAAACCTTCAAGTTCTAAATGCAACACTGTGCTTGTTTTTCACGTGAGGAGTCTCCCTCCACGGCCTGGGGGGATGGGCTCATGCCTTATTTTCAAAAGGAACTAACTCAAAACCAGCAGAATTGTGAACAGAAAATCCATGAGCTCCACAATGGGTAAGATGGCAAAGTCAGAAAGGTAACTTTGGTCTCACCTGGGCCAGGTATGATTGAAGGGGTTTTAACAAACTTAAGAAACTAAAGATTTATCACTAACTGCCCAAATGACTGGTATTTGAAGAAAAAAAAAAAACAGGATTACTAGAAAACCCTCAGTGGAATTACAAAAACAAGGACATTCATGCAAATACCCAAGACAAAGTTCTGCCCCCAAGGAAGGGAAGCAGGCAGGAGTCAGAGGCTTTTGCCTCTGAGAATCCATGTAAACAGCAGTGGGATCCCCACCCTGGATCCCCTACAACCATTGTCCACCCTGTCTCCCTAGCCGGCACTGTCACCAACCCCAGGGCACAGAAGCCGGTCTCCCACCACCGTGAATGAGCCTGGAATCTCTCCTAGACCACCTCTGGAGGCCTTCAGCCAGCACATGAAGCTTCTGGGCTGCCTCCCCTTTGACTGTCTGGCAATGAAATGGATGTTAAAGCAGACCTGGGGCTGAATGCCCGCCGCTCTGACAAGACTTGAGAGAGCAGAGACGGACAGGTGTTTTCTCTGGTTCCACACCTGGTTCTCATGACCAGTCCCCACCACCACCTCACTCTCACGTTAGAAAGTATGAAAGTGCTGTGCCTACAAGAACGGCTTCGGGTCACCCGAGTCCTGGATGTTCAGGCAGAAAACTTTAGGAGATAGACAAAAACTTAGAGCTGAAGCCACAACCCACAAACTCAGGGGGTTCCACACACAAGATATGTGAGAGACCTTGAGGAGATGACACTGGTTTTCCATGTGGTTTGAAGAAAGCTACATTGCCCTATGGTTTTCCTGATATTGACTAAATCATAGACCTGGGTAGTCAAATGGCTGTGGGATGGCCTGATAAGCCACTAAGGCACCGACTGTCTCTACGCTCCCACGTGAGTATTTCTGACCTATACAAAAAATAAATAAAAACCCAGACTTCAAGTCCCTTAATTTGGATAAGGACACAAATGAAGGGAGAAATGCATATAACAACACAAGAAATAAAAAAGTAAAGATCATTACTTAGAAAAGGTTGATTTTATTAAGTACTTAGAATTCTCCAACATGATACAAAAGAAATTAGGGATTGAAGGGTAAAAGAGAATTAAAGAGTTTCCTAATTACAAATTCTGCCCATAAACTTTGTTTACATCAAGCAAAGCAAATATTTTCATTAACTACAAATCTGGTAGGGATGAGTTTCCAAAGCATGCAGTAACCATGCGGACGTTCAGCCTCTGCAGCAGCTGGGCTCCGATACTATGATTTTATGCAGGCTGCCATAAAATGGGACACAGAGATGGGGTTTGGGGGGGGGTTCCATTTCAAGTTTACTTTGCCATCTCACTATAATATTAGTCCCAAACATGTTGCTGTCTTTGATTTGGTTGTTCAGAGGCAATTAAAGATCCCTAACTTCCAGCTTCCTTACATTAGAAAGGCACAAAGTGGTGTGAGAAGTTTTATGTATGAACAGGAGACACAAAGTGAGGTAATCCAGCAGCTCAGAAGCTGGAGACAGCACTCTGGAACCCTGAGCTTTAACTGCACAAGGGCAAGGGGGTTAAGGTCAAAGAAAGACTGAGAGCATCCCAATGACGCCACATGAACAACGCAATAGTGGTTCTGGGCAACATGATACCAGAAATGCTCTGGTTGATTTAACATTCCTCGGCAGATGCTTAAAGAGGTTTAAAAGGAATTAAAGATGTTTTGCTGCAACAACCAGCACGGCTGGCACATTTCTTTCAGCCTTGAATAGATGTTGTTTTCTTTTAACTGTGACCTACTTTATTCCCCACCTCAATTAAGTGATGGGAAGCACACTTCAATCACCCTTCCTGTTGCTGCAGCAGACATGCCCAGGCCGGGTAGGACAATGCATCCTCTCCAGGGTATGAAAACCATGTTATCAGTGACCACTGGTTTACTAAGCCTCCTCTTGCCTCACTGGCAGATGTTTCCCATGGAACATTTACACACCCTGGACAGTCACACCCACCCCAACATGCTTTTCATCTCAGAGCATCCAGTCCAATACCACTGTCTCATGGACAGGAAATGGGACCTGGGAGTTAACCCTGAGGACCAGGGGCCATGGCTAAAACCTCCCCGCTATCAGCCAGCTCAGGCTCTAACAAACTCTCTACTCTACATATTTAAGAACTTCCCTTTGACAAAAAAGAAGAAAAGAAAAACAACAAAAAACGGAGATCCCCAAAACAGACACATTTTAAATGAGTAAGATATATAAAGAGTTAACACAGTTTTGCTATACAGGACCTGATAGTAAATATTTTAGGCTTTGTAGGTTACATACAGTCTCTGCCATTCATCCATTCACACACATGCATATGAATGCACACACACACACACACCTTTTCTTATTTTAAAAGCACCGATTGTCTGAATTCCAAAGAGGGCACGAGGACATGTGGACATTTATAAGGTCCTCCCTGCTTATAATAAATAAAAATAAGTAGATACACAGAAGTATACATTAAAGCCATAGTTTGCAAAGATAATGGAATTATCAAAAGGGATAAAGCCATCCAATAAGGCATTTTAAAATGGCTGAAATGGGTTTTGATAATAGTTTTTTATTTTTTAAATTTTTTTCACTATTACAGACGGTGAAAAGGGATTTAAATTCATAATGAAAGAAAATGTGAATCTGGGAGATGAATGTTCAAAGGCAGCTATACAGAATAGCAATGTCCAGCATTGCAGATTAAAGTACAGGATTAGAGAAGGCTTTAGAAGACAAGGGCCACGTAGGCAGGGAGATGAAAGTAACAGCATATTTCAGAAAGGGTAGACCTGAGAAAAGCAAGGGTGAGCTTAGACATTCAGGTAAATAGGTCCGCAGAGGCAGGAAGTAAGATTTCCATTTACTGTGCCATTGAAGTGGCGTGGTAGGGGTGGGGGATGAAAGTTTAGAATAAAAAGAGAAAGATGTTCTGTTTATCCAGAGCCAGAAAATGGGACTTGTGCAATACATTTAACTAGGGCATTAAATGTGTTAGGGCATCTTTTGTGCAGTCCCCACCTTAGAGTGCACTAATGTTTCTTAAACATATTTTCCATCATAAGGTTTTATAAATACATAATTCAGATATATTTACAGAAACCTAGAAAATTGGAAAAGATTTCTTCCACAAGATCCAGGTTCATTTTTGGACCCTTTAGAAAGCTCTCTCTGTGACTAAAAGCACTTTAAACTGTTTTATGTCTTATAGGATCTCCTAGTATCCAGGCAGAGCTACTGATCATTAATGTGCATTTTCAAAAAGAAAGTTAAGATAAAAAAACATTTTCAAATACATTATTTGCACAATCATGTCTAATTCAGAAACAATACCACTAAGAGGCAAGAAAGCAGTTAACACCCTGAGTACAGAAAAACTTAGACAACAGGACAAGCTTATCCTTTTGTCCTCAAAAACCCACCAAGACGATTCTAAACAGAGATCAGTAAATACTATCCTCACAGTTTACTCTTAACACTCAATGGTTATAGAACCAAATGTAAAAATGTGCTTTACCCTGAAACAGATGAGTAAACAGACTGGCAATTCCTAACTGTCAGAGTTTTTCCTTTAAGCCATGTCACCATGCAAGAGGTTCTGTGCTTTAAAAACATAAGACCTCAGAAAAACTCCTACCCCCAAA